TTGTCATTCTCCGATCTTCTCCAAGATCTCTTCCTTCCAATTGTCTGTGAACACTGCCACAAAGTTCCACAGTCCCACCCGCTTCGGATGTTATCAGCCATTAAATGGCCGTTATTAGTTGTTATCATCTCCATATGTAGCGGTCAGACTGCCCCTCCTGTACCTCATAGTGGGTTTAAAGGTACGTTGTTAACATTGTTAACGATGATAATAGATTCGGTTTTTAGCTTTGTTACCGTTCATAATAGCTTCACATGGTCAGGTTTACAGTAAAGGATCTGACTGTTAGGTTTAGGCTCTTGGTTAGGTTTAGGCACAAGGGTAAGGGAATTAAGTCTAGGATTGGTCCTCTGGGTCACGTGTAAGCTTACGTTTAGGAAAAGGCTTACATAAGCTGGAAAAAACAAAAATGACACTTCCTGGATTACCCCTGTGCGACGCTGCCTATTATCAGCAATAATAATGATAATAACGTACATTTAAACCTACTAGGAGGTAGGTGGGACAGTTTGACCGCTATATATGGGGATGATAACAACTAATAACGGCCATTTAATGGGCTGATAACATCCGAAGCCGCTCACAGTCCTGCCTGCTCAGCTCTGATACAGGTCCACAGTTAGTTCACATACAGTCTGAGTGTTGCCAAGCCACACGCATTCCAGATCAGAATTTGTAGACAATCCAGATTTCCACCAACTCCAAAAAGCAAAATCCAGTTATCATAAATCCAATTATGTTTCAGGTCGTTTTCACACCAGATAGTCCGGTAGACTCTGTTCGGTTCGGGACCAATATTCATGACCTTTTGTTTACATTTGAGCTGGTGCGTTTGCATTCACACTGTACTGTGCAGTCGAGTTAACCTGTTGAACCAACCTGTTCCCCGCTCATCTGCGGGGGCGCTGCACCAAGAACTACTGAAAGAAACGACACGAAAACCTCTGAAGACATGTCTTCTTCTTCTTCTGTAAATAAAAATAAAAACGAAGTGGCATCAAATTTTAGCAGTTTTAGGAGTTATATTTTGTAATTTTTCAAAAATGGACTTAGCATGAGCAGAAGATGAGACAGAAGACCATGGAGAATATTGTTTTTCACACAAGGCAGCTGACGGCTCCATATAAGGTCAGAGAAATGCGTGTTTGTTTGTCCTGCGGAGCGGGGCTCGGTCTGTTTACATTCACACTGTACTCGAACCGCGCTGGAGTTTGCTTCTACCGGACTGAGACCTAGGTTTAAGCCCGGGCCAGAGTTCGCCTTTTTGTTCCGTGACAGAGTTCGATGGCGCGTTCACACCTCCCTAAACGAACCGGACTTTCTAGGAAAACGAGCTAGAGTTCGATTAAAGCGGACTAAACAGGGCTGGTGTGAATGCACCCTCAGAAGTAAGAGGGCTCTCCTTCACCCTGCCTTCTTGTTGAAAAAAATTTATCAATTGAGTTGAGAGACAGCTGAACAAGTTTACAGTTCAGAAGGCATGCAAAAAGGGGCTCTGAAAAAGGTTCACAAAAACAAAGCGCAAAAGAGCAAAAGCAGGAGCGGAGGCAGGAAACGGAAAGAGAGTGTACATCTTTGTCGAGAGCGAGAGAGGAAAAAAGTATAAGTGAGTATTTTAAGTGTAGCAAAACAATAGCGATAGTTATTACCACTGGGTGAAAAAATAAACATGTACTGTTTAATATTTTACAAAATATTTTGGGTTCCTGTAGTTTTAAGATGTTCTTGGCACTATTATTCATACCTATAGGAATGGTATTCATTTTCGACTGTTTTAATTAACTGTATATATTCTGAAGTAATTTCTTGAAATAAACACGCTAAAAGCTCAACTTTAAAACACACAAGAAAGTGAAATGACAGTAAAGTAAAAATGTTTCTAAATAATAGTTTGCAAACTCAGTTTTTAATGGTGTGATTAAAAGTGCAGGACCAAAAGACTCACTTTTTACAGGTGGAGTTTAAATCAAAGTAAAAAAATTTGTTTTTCAGTTATATCAGATTTAGGATAAAAGGAAGTAATTTTATTTTTATTGCTAGTGAATTTAAGCAGAATATGTGTTTCTTTGGGATTCCTGTTATTAATCGTCTTTAGCAGGAAGTAAATGGGTTAAAGGTAAAAAGTGAACTCTGTGGCTCTATTAAACCAGGGGGGTCCTCTTAGTGATCACAAATCAATATAAAGTTGTTCTGAGTGATCACCTTTATGCTGGGATAAAACAGTTTTCCTGATGGGAGGGCTGGTTTTCAGGATGACAAGTGTCCTATCTAACGAGAACAATGGGTCACTCAAGATGAGTTAACAAATGAAGTGAATTATTATATTATAATATTATATCATCTGACAAGGGGCAGATTTTAGACTGATCTTATTAACAATCTCTCCCAGCATCATCCACAAACCAAGGGATTATCTTTAGAAAGCATGATTATGATTCCTGATGCGGATGCTGAATGGCAGCAAATACTAGTTATTTTCTCCATCTGATGCTTGTTATATTGTTTTTAATGAATAAATGTATAGATCATTCAGAAGGTTAGTTTGGTTTAAAGCTCTCCTCTTCATCCAGACTCGTGTAGGGCTTTCACTCAGTCTTTTTCAGAAGCTTCTTGAGCTTAACAGGCAACAAGGAACAAAAAGGAGTCATTAAACACACCTTAAGGCAGGGGTGTCCAAATGTTTGCTTGTGTGGGCCAAAACTATCCAGACGAAAGGACTCGTGGGCCACAAAGATGTGAATTTAACTCTCGATGTGAACAATATTTTGGAGAAAGGACAAACTGAGTAATTTTGGTGGAGAAAGAGTTTTAAACTGTTGTAGATCCAAAACATTTAAGCCTCATAAACACTTAACTTGTTTATTTATTTATTTTTATTAAAAAGGATTTGATTTGTTGGGTTTATATTTGTTTTTTTGTGTGTGTGTGTTTGAAAAATTCATTTTAGTCTGTTCTCAGCAACAAAAACATAATATGAGGAAGTGACCTTTTAAAAGGATCAGACTTTTGGACCATGGATGGCCCACAAGTCTAATCGAAGTTCTGAAAAATTTGTCCAGCTGTCAGTCTCATCAACAGATTCATAGAATATTTGATAAAGTTGATCAACTCGTATGTAGATGATACCATGTTATAAGCGCTTTGAGTGGCTTGAGATACAGTTCATTTACCATTTATATTTGTAATGTCTAATTTCTCTTGATTATTTTATCAACTGCAAAATTTAGCCAATCTTTAAAAATCATTATCCAGAAGCTCCTTTCTGGTAGAAATCAGTAAATGTTTTAAATGCTTTGCACCATGAAGGGAAAATAAAAAGATTCTAGCCAAAGGTTTATAACATTGCTAATTCTGAGATGATTGTTTTTCATCTGTTTTGCTGTTAAACCTAAACATTATATAAAAAGGGATTACCAACTAATTTGCAGAAAGTCTGCATTGACTTGTTGTGGGCCACACAAAATCACTCCAAGGGCTGCAAATGGCCCTCGGACCGCACTTTTGGACACTCGTGCCTTAAGGGAAGAATTGTGCTGACATTAGAGCTCAACAGTGAACTTTAGTCCCTGACAACTCTTCTGTCTTCTTATAAAAATCATGATCTGAAATGATTCTGTTTTATTGTGTCATATGGTAAAAAAAAAAATCAGTAAATAAAAAGTTGGTAACCTTTTAGCAGCCTTTATTAAATGTTTATTAATGCGTTATAAAATGCTATTCACTATTTGGCAAGATCCAGTGCTATATTTTATGTCATTCATGCTGATATAGCTGTTCAACTTACCTTTGTTAAGTAAATTAATTTATTTATTTATTTTGCCAAGACAAACTTTGTATCTAAATGCTCACACATTAACAAACTTGTAATGTTTATTGATGAAGGATGCGGGTTAGCAGTGAGAATAAGAGTACTGACATGTTGGATCACTATTTGTCAAGAAAATATTCAATATTATCATTTTTATTTATTGCACTAGTAATTTTCAATGCGTAACACATTCTTTTGGCTTAATTAAAAACTGCATGGTTGTTTCCAAGAAAAGGGCCTCTATAGTTTATACAAAAAAAAAAAAAAAAAGTTATTTTTCCCTCCTTTATTGTTATTTTTTCTTGTGAAACCATTTGCATTTCATCCTGTAAGGAAACTCGTTTGAAACAACAGAAACTTAAAATTGATTTCAAGAAAAATAACAAAAAGTTATGTGCAGATAATCTTGCAGAGTATTTTAGAATAGGATGTGACATCTCAAAACAGTGAAGAGGTTGGGTGCTAAGAAAGGGGGCTGTTAAAACTGAATTGAAATTGAATTGAATCCAGTTTGACCCTGCATGTCTCTGCAAAACACTTAAAGTGCTCCAGTCAGGCCAATAGTCATTAATGTAAACCATAAGAGGAAATTGTGTTTTCTCACTTAAACAGTTGTAGGTTTTATTCCTAGAGTTCAGTCACTGGGATGTTTTCCAGCCGCCAGATTAATCTCGTATGTTTAGACAGATCTGAATTAAAGGAGCACCAGATAATTAGTGATTGATCCAGATAAGTAAAATAAACAAATAAATAAATAAAAAACACACCCCCTCTCTCTCTCTCTCTCTCTCTTGCTTTCCGTTACTCCATTGAGCGCGTCTATGACGTCACGCGGCGATTAAGGCTTCTTATTGGTCCCGCGAGCAGATGGAGCAGTCCTAATGAGCTGACTCGAGGAGGGAGAGAGAGAAACACAGAGAGGGAGAGAGAGGACAGGTTATCGTCTGGACAGGAGCTTCTCCCTCCACCTCCTCACTGCAGAGCTCGGTGTCTGGGACTCAGCGCCGTCTGCCCGCTTCTCTCCTCTTCCCCTCTCCGCTATCGCGCCTCCTCCTCTTCTTCCTCCTCCCCACATTTTTTTTTATTTTTTATTCATTCACTTATTTTTGTTTGCCCTCCCTCCGCTCTCCTGACTCCCCCCCTCCCTCCTTGGACTGCATGTTCAGCCACACCGCCTCCCTCCGCTCCTTCACTCCGGCCGGGCGAGCATGGACGGTCGGGTTCTCGAGCATCCTCACGCCCAGTTCGGCGGCTCCCTGGGCGGACTGGTGGGCTTCCCGTATCCGCTCGGTGCACATCACCACCACCACCACCACCACCAGCACGTCTACGAGCTGGCGAACGGACACCACCAGGCCGCCGTGCCCTTCTCCATAGACGGATTACTGAACGGCTCGTGCGCGGCCTCGGTGGTCACCTCGGAGAACCAGCAGTTCAAACTCTCAGGTGGGTCCCAGGGATTATTGATCATCGACAAATTCAACTTAGTTCCATGATGGCTACTTTCTGGGAGAGTCTAATAAAGCAAAATTAGGAACGCTTTACAGCAATAATAATAATAATAATAATAAAAGATGGCAAAGATTATATATAACAATGAGTTTTGGAAGGGAAAAAGTTTAAAAGCAGGTTCAGTTTGTATAACTTTACATATATTTTAATTTAGCAATTATCCATGGGCCCATCAAGGGTCAAGTCTAATTATAAACAAGTTAGAAAAAGTGTCCAATGGATTGTTTGAACGCAAACCGTTTTATTCTAAGCCCATTTTAAAGCGGTATAATTTTGCAACAAGATTAGAGCTCTAAAATCGCCTTCTCTCCCTCTCTCTACAATAAACACACACCTGAACGCACACATGCACACGCATGTCTGCAGATTCTGGAGACCCGGATAAGGACAGTCCCGGCTGCAAACGGAGACGGACGCGCACGAACTTCACGGGCTGGCAGCTGGAGGAGCTGGAGAAGGCTTTCAACGAGAGCCACTACCCAGATGTGTTCATGCGGGAGGCGCTCGCGCTCAGACTGGACCTGGTGGAGTCCAGGGTTCAGGTAAGACAAGCACAAATATCACACATTCATTTAGAACAGTGTTTTAATTGGGATTTGGCGTTTTTATTTTATTTTATTTTTTTTTATTATTCTTTCATGTTCATTCATGTTTTTGCTGAAGTTTTGGTGTTTAAGACAAGAACAAGACAAACATGCAGAGATAATTATTTTGTTGTGGCCGGAAGGCCTGCCCGGTTCTGTGGGTCAATCTTCAAGGCAGCAAAAAAAAAAAGAAGACATTTGAATATTTCATGTGTGCAGCCTATCGATTTATGGGTTAATTAAAACAGGGCTATTTATAAAACTAATCAATGAGTGGCAGTGCTGAAGAATAATCTAATCTCTTGTATAGATTTATATACCGTATTATTTTTACTTTATTAGCGTTTAGCATATATCTAAGAGCCTTGTACACTGTTTCTTTTTATACTTTAAATTATTTTGTTACTATTTTTGGTGTGACTGAGACCCTGTGTACACTATTTTGTTCCACCTCATGTACCACATGTTATGCGAATGACAATACTGAAACTTGATGTGTGTGTGTATATATGTACATACCGTTACCGACGTATGTA